TGGGGCGCGCCCGCAGGGGGCCGCGACGGGCGGGCTGCGCGGCCGCCACCTCGAGGGGCGGGGCGGAGCATCCCGAAGGCCGGGAGGAAGGCGCTGCCCCGGCGGGCGGCTGTCCTTGAGGAGAGCGGAGTGTGAAGCCGGGACGGGAAGGAGGGAAGTTGTGGGCAGCGCCGAGGGAGAGACGCTGACAAGTTAGACGGGGTACGGAGGAGGAGAAAGCCAGGGGAGCAGGGTTTTCATCGCATTTCTCGCGAAAGGGTCCAAGACAAAGCTGCTCAAGAGGTGAAGAACTGTGGAGGGGTAGCAAGGCCTGTGTGTGACAGGTCGAGAGGCTGACAGAGGGGAGCCTGTTAAGGAGAGAGCTCTCGCATCACCAAAGAGTCTTGAGGTGACCACTGAGGACATCTTGCAGAACCTTAAGTCACTGGGTTAATTTCCCAGGCTCCGGCTTTGTTCTGTTCTTTGAAATAGAGCCATGACCCTAGGCAGGTTTGATGTCCAGCCACTGGACTCAGTCTCCTTTAGAGGTGCTCATGACTGTGCCCTGAGGACCTCTGCTGGGAACTTGGCCCTCTCTTCTTCCACCCCACCCCCGGTGTATATGGGTGGATTGAAACACTTATTTTTTCCTTATGGGAGAGAAGCAGGATATTGGCTTCTGGAAGATGGATGTTAGTTTAGTTGGGTTCATGATTCATTGTAACCCTATCGGCTTCACCTCCCACCATACCTACGAACAATTTTGGTTCTATTTCCCCCAAAGGGACAGTAGTTATATAAATGATGTGGTAGCACACACCTGAATCCCAGCACTCAGGAAGCTGAGGCAGGAAGGATTGTTGTGAGTTCAAGACCAGCCTGGGCTGCAAAGAGTGTTCAAGGCCAACCTGAACTGCATAGTGAGACCCTGTCTCAAAAAAGATTAAATAAAAATAAATGATGTTGAGAAAGGATTTGGGGGAGTTGTGAACATTAAACCCAGACCTAGAAGCCCTGGCCATAAAATCTACAAGAGGCTCGGAAAAAGCTGAGGTGGTTGGAGGGGGGTGGTCATGGGGCACGTCTGCCACTGGGCCCCTTCCCTGTGGAGCTGTCTGGGCTGAGTCCTCCCTTCTCTTCCTCCTGTGTCCTGTCCTCTCCACAGCAGGCTAGGATGGATCTGAGGAAGAGCTGGAGAGGAGATAAGCAGCTTAACCCAGAGTCTAGGCTGGAGGTAGGAGGCTGCAGTGGACTGATTTGTGTCTGGGCATGGCCTGCTGTCTGCCACCCTGTTCCCACACTGGTCAGCTTGCAGGCGTAGAGCAAAAGGGTTGCCGTATCTCTGGGATGTGCTGTTGAGGCTGACCTGAGCGTTGCTGAAAGGAGACCGAGGTGTCCCTTGACCGCATTAACTGCCTGGCAGTGATTCACTAGCTACAAAGCATTCTGCTGATCACTGCTAGGGAAAAGCAGCACTTGGCCTTGGCAGGACAGGTCTGTGTAAGCTTAGGATTCTTAAGCGCTATTCTTCTCCACAGCATATGGTGATGAGTTTCCGGGTGTCTGAGCTTCAGGTGCTCCTCGGCTTTGCTGGCCGGAACAAGAGTGGACGGAAACACGAGCTGCTGGCCAAGGCCCTGCACCTCCTCAAGTCCAGCTGTGCCCCCAGTGTCCAGATGAAGATCAAAGAGCTTTATCGTCGCCGCTTTCCCAGGAAGACCCTGGGGCCCTCTGACCTCTCCATGCTCTCCCTGCCACCTGGCACCTCTCCTGTAGGCTCCCCTGGTCCTCTAGCTCCCATTCCCCCAGCTCTCCTGGGCCCAAGTACCCTGCTGGGCCCCAAGCGTGAGGTGGATGTGCATCCTCCTCTCCCCCAACCTGTGCACCCTGATGTCACCATGAAACCGTTGCCTTTCTATGAAGTCTACGGGGAGCTCATCCGACCCACCACCCTTGGTATGGCTCCTGTGGTCATTCAGTCTTTCTAGACTCTTTTCTAGGTTTTAGTCCCGTGGGCTCAGCAGGCTTGGATGGAGGCAGCTCCGATGGCTGCCAGTGCATGGTTTGGAGTAACTGCCTCTTTGTGTCTTCAGCATCCACTTCCAGTCAGCGGTTTGAGGAAGCGCACTTTACTTTTGCCCTCACCCCCCAGCAAGTGCAGCAGATTCTCACGTCCAGGTACAACTCTTTCAGTCTGCAGGCTTCATCCATAGGTGCTCACCAGCGTCTGCTCTGTCTTTTCTGTCCTGCTGTCCTCTCTGTCTGTATTCTTTTGAACACCTCTTCTGTATCCCTTGGACATCTGACTTTCTGTCTGTCCATGCACCCCTTCCTCTGGGGGTTCCATGCTGACATCTCTCCCTCTCCTTTCCTGTTACAGAGAAGTTCTTCCAGGAGCCAAATGCGATTATACCATACAGGTGCAGCTGAGGTGAGCTCCTGCCCCTTCTCTGACTCACTGGGCTCTCCTGAGGGTGGAAGTGAAATTGGAGTATGACATATTCGTAGGAGATAGCCTTGCTTTGCCACTGCCCACTCCAGCCTTCTAGTTAGTTATTGGATATTGAGGGCTGCCAAGATCCATGACTGTTCTGGGTTTGCCTGCCTCTGCCCGATTCAGCCCAAGAAACTGCTTTTCATCCTCTGTTCTTTCTTGCCAGGTTCTGTCTCTGTGAGACCAGCTGCCCCCAGGAGGATTATTTCCCCCCCAACCTCTTCGTCAAAGTTAATGGCAAACTGTGCCCTTTGCCGGTAAATGCTGTTCCTTCTTCTGGCATCAAACCCTCCGATTTCAGTTCATAAATATAACTGCAAACCTACTGTGAAAGAGGTGCCTAGCATAGTGCTGGCACTTAGTAGGTACTCAGTTTACTGACAGAGTGATCTAGACAGTGTTAAGAGTTGAACAGAGCTTCTGTCAGGACCCTGGGAAGAGACAGTTGAATTCAAAGGTTCAGGAAGGACTTCTGCTGGGGTTGGTGACAAGCTGCTAAACCCCAGCACTTTGAGAGGCAGAGACAGGAGGATTGCAAGTTTGAACCCAGTCTGGGCAATTTAGGAAGATAGTCTATTTTAAAAAAAGGGCTGGGGATGTAGCTCAGTGCAAAGGCCCTGGTTCAGGCTGCATTACAATAAAAAGAATAGACAGGCTTGTTAGAGACCTCATGACCCCAAGGCTGAGCTGAGAGAAGTTAGATGTCGTTGTTCCTCTTCCTTAGGGACTCAGTGAGTGGTTCCTATTTTCTTGGTCGGTAAAGGAGTGATCCCCATATGCAACACTATATAAATGTGTTTCACTGAATGGGTCCCCAGAACCTAGCTAAGCCACCTCTCCACTAATCAGTTCCTCCTGTCCTCAGGGTTACCTTCCCCCCACCAAGAATGGGGCTGAACCCAAGAGGCCCAGCCGCCCCATCAACATCACACCACTGGCCAGACTCTCGGCCACTGTCCCCAACACCATTGTGGTCAACTGGTCATCTGAGTTTGGACGGGTGAGTGTAGCTGAAATAGGGTTTCTGGAAAGGGCAGATAGGAGCCACCAAGTGTCCTGGGTTTCTGGACTTCATGGGACAAATGAGGGTGGTAGTGGTCCTAGAAGCAGAAGCTAATTCTTCCTCTCTACCCCAAGTAGAATTACTCCTTATCTGTGTACCTCGTGAGGCAGTTGACTGCAGGAACCCTTCTACAAAAGCTCAGAGCAAAGGGTATCCGGAACCCAGACCACTCCCGGGCACTGAGTGAGTAACACTGTTCCGCTCTGATCCTGCTCCAAGCCTTCTGGCCCTCCAGCCTCATAGTGAAACCCTTGCTTGTGTGTGAGGACTTCTCTATGTGAATCCTGACCCTCTCCCAAAGTCCTGACTGGTCTTCATGATTGCGACATTGGGTTACTTCCAGGCAGTGAATGGCAGTTGTTGTATTCCAGTCAGCAACTGGAACCTTTGCTCCTCACAGATTCTACCTCCAGCCCTCAGGGGGTGGGTTTTTTGGGCTGGAGAGAGTCTTAAGAATCATTAGATGTAACTCTCTTGTGATGCCTCAGTTCTTTCTAGATCATCTCTGACATTGTAAGAGTGTCACCTAGCTATGTTTAAGCATCTTCTGAATGGCGTAAACCTTCCCTCCCATGTACAGCTCCTATAATCCAAATCCCACACCATTTCACATGACATTCTGTCAGTCTCCAAGGACTGTCCACTCAACTGCCTTTTAGCTAAGGCTGTCCACTGCTGGACTTTCTAGTTCCTGGGTCCCCCCCTCCCACCCCTTGCTGACCCCATGGCTATGGCCCCACTTTTGTTTCAGTAAAGGAGAAATTGACCGCTGACCCTGACAGTGAGGTGGCTACTACAAGTCTCCGGGTGTCACTCATGTGCCCGGTGGGTACAAGGGGAGAAGGGAAGAGGGAGGATGGTTGGTCTTTGACTAGGGATAGTAGAGTGAAAGCAGAGTGGCAGCTCTGACTACAGAACTCTCCTCTCCTCAGCTGGGGAAGATGCGCCTGACTGTCCCATGTCGTGCCCTCACCTGTGCCCACCTGCAGAGCTTTGATGCTGCCCTTTACCTACAGATGAATGAGAAAAAGCCAACGTGGACATGTCCCGTGTGTGACAAGAAGGCTCCCTACGAATCTCTTATTATTGATGGGTAGGACCATTTTGCTGCCTTTTATGTAGGATTCTTTTAAAAATATGGCTTGCCTTCAGATAAACCCCAACTCTAATCCTGTTTTAGCAATCTGTATCCGTGTGCGTGTAGCCCTAATGACTTAGTATGTAAAGGCATCATGCTGATAACTATGAGTACCATCGTTATAGATGAGGAAACTGGAGATTTCTTGCTCAGGGCCACAGTGTTAGTAAGTGGCAGAGCTACTGTATTGCACTGTTTTGTTATCTATACCTCCTAGGATAGCTGTCACCTCCTACATCAGCTGCCACCTCCTGGCCCCACCTGCTCTGGTCCCCACTTCCTACTGAGCATAACAGTTAGTGGGGGTTATGTTGTAGTGGGGGTTGAACCTATGGCCTTGCACTAGGTGAGTGCTTTACAGCTAAGCCACACCTTGAGCCCTTGCTGAGCATAGAAACTGGGTTCTTTTGAGGAACTCATATGCTAAACTCAGCATTTTATTTTCCACAAGCAAAGAATGTTTTTCTTTCTTTTTTTTTTTTTTTGGTACTAGACACTGAACCTAGGACCTTGTGCTTGTCAGGCAGGTGCTTATTCCGCTGAGCCCTTAAGAATGTTTTTTTTTTTTCCCCCAGAGCCTGCATTGTGGCTCTTGCTCACAGCGTCTTTTCTGTCTCCCACTGTAATGCAGGCTACTCTTGAACTTAGTTTGTAGCCCAGGCTGGCCTTGAACTTGAAGTGATCCTTCTGCCTCAGCCTCCCAGAGGCCTGGGATTAGAGGCACGCACCATCATGTCAGGGTGTTTTTTGAGGTATTTATGAATTCTGCCTTGTTGCTAGAACTACACCTAACAGATGCTTAGCTTACATTTATTTTAAAACCTAGCACCCAAAGTTCATTAAGAGTCTCTTCTTTTATATGCTTACTTTGCTTGACTCACTAGCAACTCAAGAGAAGCATAGTAGGATGGCTGAGATCCCTGTTTACAAAGGAGGAACCTGAGGTACAGCAAGGTGAATCACAGAAGCCTGACTGCTGTCCAGCCAACCCCTACCCTCCTGAATTCCCATCTTTCCCATTCCCTAGTTTATTCATGGAGATTCTTAATTCCTGTTCTGACTGTGATGAGATTCAGTTTATGGAAGATGGATCCTGGTGCCCAATGAAACCCAAAAAGGAGGCATCTGAGGTTTGCCCCCCACCAGGGTATGGGCTGGACGGTGAGTGACCCTCTGTCCCCTAGCTGAGCTAAATCTTGAGTGGGCCTCTTTCTGAGACATCCTTTTTACTGCCCTTAGGCCTCCAGTATAGCCCAGTCCAAGAGGGAAATCCATCAGAGAATAAGAAGAAGGTTGAAGTTATTGACTTGACAATAGAAAGCTCATCAGATGAGGAGGATCTGCCCCCAACCAAGAAGCACTGTCCTGTCACCTCAGCTGCCATCCCAGCCTTACCTGGAAGCAAAGGGTAAGAAAAAGGTAGACCCTACAGCAGAAGGGGCAGCGGAAGCAGTAAAGCATGCTTCCCCCACCCCTTGTCTTTTTGAGACACGGTCTCACTGTGTAGTTCATGCTGGCCTTGAACTGACTTCCTGAGGATGGTCCAGAACTCACAGTGGTCCTCCTTCCTCAGCCTCCTGTGTGTTAGGATTGCAGGCCTGTGTCACCACGCCTGGCAAAAGAATGCCTTCTGATCCTACGGCAAGGGAAAGGTGGAGAGGACAAGAACCCAAATGGAGAAGTCAAGCTTGGGAAGTGCGGGCATCTGTGGTTTGCCTCATCTCTTTTCTGTTCACAGAGTCCTGGCCTCCAGTCACCAGCCATCCTCGGTGCTGCGGAGTCCCGCGATGGGCACACTGGGCAGTGACTTCCTGTCTAGTCTCCCACTACACGAATACCCACCAGCATTCCCACTGGGAGCTGACATCCAAGGTATGACACAGACTCCAAGGTGGGCTCTGTTGCCGCACCCTCCCTAGAACTCCTTTCAAAGCCCCCTGGATTTTTTTTTTTTTTTTTTTTTTTTGAGACATGGTCTTGCTATGCAGTTTAGGCTTGCTTTGAACTATCACTATGTATCTCAGGCTGGCTTCAAACTCATGGTGATCCTCCTGCCTCAGCCTCCCAAGTGCTGGGATTACAGGGAAATTTTTATAGAAAGTTGATTTTGATTTTTTTTTTTTCTTACCAGGTTTAGATTTATTTTCTTTTCTTCAGACTGAGAGCCAGGTAAGTGGTCCTTTCTCTTCTCATGAAGATCTGCGAGCTCTGAAGCTTCCTTTTTAGGTGCTGATGGCATGCCTCCCTTCCTGACTCCCTAGATGCCCAGTTTTGGTTAAGTTTTTAGTGCAGTTCTATTCCTGCTTACTCACTCCTGCACTCCATGGGTGCTTAGAGTATAGTTCCTGTGTCTGTCAGCTGGACAGTCCATGTGCTGCAGGTGCCCATGATGCCCACAAGGCCAAGAACTTAGTGAGCCGGTAGGGCTGCCCTAAGGCAGGCAGAGGGGATGGAGTGGGGCAGTAGGGTAGAGTCGAGAGGCCCTCTTGCTTCATGAGAATTCCTTCAGACTCGGGTTGACTTACTCTATAAAGTGTTCCTAAGATGAATGACAGAAGGTAAATAAGTCAGGGTAAGACCTTCATCTCTCCCCTTGATTCTTCCCAGCACTATGGTCCTTCTGTCATCACCTCGCTAGATGAACAGGATGCCCTTGGCCACTTCTTCCAGTACCGGGGGACCCCTTCCCACTTTCTGGGTCCTCTGGCGCCGGCCTTGGGGAGCTCGCACCGCAGCTCCACTCCAGCACCGCCTCCAGGCCGTGTCAGCAACATTGTGGCTCCTGGAGGAGCCCTGAGGGAGGGACATGGAGGACCCCTGCCTTCCGGTCCCTCTTTGACTGGCTGTCGGTCAGATATCATTTCCCTGGACTGAACTCCTTGAGTTACAAAACAGTCACTGTCCCTCAACACTGAGCAGATCTGCTGTGGTGCCCCAAACCCTGGCCACTCTGATCCATCAGGGGGTTTTGGCCAAAGGCCAGACAAATCCTCAAGGACATCTTGGCCTCAACTGCCTAACCACCTAAAGGGTTAATATTTAACCTTTTTAAGGACATTGGGGTCTATTTTTGGAAATGTTCTTTAGATGGCAGCACATTCCTTTGGGAATATTTGTTAACCAAGTGGTGGGAAGCTACTGGGATGGGATGGAAGCTGGGGGGATGGGCTGAATGATGGCCTTCACTGCATCTAGAGCTTCTGAGGAAGGGTTTCTCCTCTTTCTCTGAGATGCTCCTCTTCCCATCCCCATTCTTTTCATGTTTTCTCAATTCCCTTTAGCCACAGACAGGTGTCAAAACCAAGACAGGCAGTTGCAGAGACGGACAGAGATCTGTATTTTGGGTTGCAGATTTTTTGTGCATAAACAAGAAAAACCAAACACTCCAAAGATGACTTTCGTTGTGTCCTACTTCCCAGTATGACTGAGAAGATAAGGCCTTAGTCGTGATCTCCAGGGTTTGGAAGTGGGGAGGGCCTGGCCTACTGCCCAGGTCTCTCTCTATTTAAGTTCGCAATGTTTCTTAGTGCCAATCAGCCCAGGACTGAAGCTTCTAGAGACTCATGGCCCTGTGGGTAGGCCTGGCTCATTCTGCACCTTTCCTGGGCGGAGGGAGGACTCCTGTGCCCTCCTTCCCATTTTTTTTTTTTCCAGGCTCCTCCAGGACCTACAACTCACGTTGTAATTTTACTTTTTATTCCCAAAGCTGTAGCAAAGTTCTCACCCACAATAAAGGTTGTGAATGTTCTGTGAGTGTCATGGGGGTGGGCTGGGGAGGGCGATGCACTTCCCTTTCTAGACTCCTCATTTGAGACAGCAGGGTCCATGTTCTGTCCTTTGCTGGCTCTGGGTCCACAGGAACTCCACCTTCACCTGGGGGAGTATTACACAGGGATTTCTCAGAGCAGTTCCTCCTTCCCCTCTTCCATGGCCATAAGAGCGCTAGACAATTCCAGCTCTGTGTTGTGGATGGGGCCCTCAAGTTGCTCCTCACCTTCACCTGCCCAGATGTTGCAGCCAGAGCCGAAGAGCAAACTTGGTTCCAGTGCTGACCCTCTCTATGTCCTCTGCTGTGGTTGGGGTTGTCTGCAGCAGTGTGGACATGGGCAGAACCACAGGTCGGGCTCCTCCATCCTCTTCTAGTTCTATAGCACTGCGTTATGAGAGTTCCTGTGTGGGTTGTGCTAGTTCACAGAGAACTACTTTGTTAGATGACTTAATCCTAACCACAGCAGGAGGTAGGGGGGTGGGTGTTAACTGTTTTACACAAAGGAAACAGGTTGAAGGAGAGTTAAATGGCTTGTACCTATTGAAGGCTGAGATTCACACCTAAGACTTCAACACTAGCGACTTACACTAGAGTAAGAACCCTTGGTCAGTACCTTTGTTTTCATGTGGTCTCTCATCAGTGGACCAACTCATGACCTAGGGCCACTCACAAATCCAAAATTCTGTCCTGAAGAGAATGAACTCAGTGTGTATGTGCTGGTATGTTGGAACCTCAGTAAGCAGCTTATACTTACGGGACAGAGGGTGGTAGGTCCTGGGGGAGAAGGGCAGCTGTCTCCGTCCCATTCTCTGTAGCAGCCACTGCAGCTGCTACATCTGGTCCCAGCCACATAAGGGCATTCACCTCACCTGGGTTTGGTTGGATCTGGGCCTGGGATTAGATATGTTGATGCGTCAGTCATGGGGTCTGTCTCCCTAGGAGGTCTGTTTGAGATCACAGATTACTTACAGTGAACACAGCAACATGGGGCAGGGCAGGAGAGGATACTGGGTATTCTTGGTTATTTCAGGCCCTACTCCCACCCCCATTATCACAGTCTGAACCAGATTGCTTGAATTCCCCTGAGTTCCGTTTCCTTTTTCCACTGCACCTACTTGCAGCTGCTGCTGTGACTCCTGGGAGATCACAAGTAGATACAGAACGATGTGGTGGTATTTGGGGAAACCCCAGCTCAGCCTAGGTGGGTAGGCAGACTGAAAAGGAAAAAAAAAAGCTGGCTAGAAGCTGTGGGAGGGCAGGGGGGGGGGCAGGGTTAAACCTGGGGCTGGGGAGACCAGTAGAATAAGTGCTTGCCTGGCAAGTGCAAGATCCTGAGTTCAATCCCCTGTACCGCAAAAAAATAAATAAATAAAACTTTTACAATGTGGTGAATAATGAGAGTGAAAAAGGATGCTTTTGTTTTCTTTCCAAATGAGCATTAACCTTTTAAATCAATTTTCTAGCATGGTTCCCAGCTTTTATTTGTAGTTGTTCAATATCTTTTGATGTGTTTTAAATTTGTGCAACTTCATTTCCAGATTGCCTTATTTAGAAAATGGGTGTTACAAAAAAGAGGATTAGGGATGAATAAAAAGATTTGCAGCAGGAAAATAGATAACTCTGCAATGCAGCCTTAATGAACATTAGGCAAGTTGAGCGGAATCCTGGGACTTGAG